CGCCTCCTCCTCTCTCTCTCTCTCTCTCTCTCTCCCCCCTCGTCCAACCCTCCCCTCCCCCGCGCTGGCGCGCCGCTGGCAGCCCTGCAAAAACAAGCATACGGCGATCCCCAGTAGCACCCTGGTACACAGACCGGGCCAGAACTGCGGAGGCCGCGTGGCCCTGCCGGCAGTGTGTGGTGACGTGGTGCCACGTCTGCGACGTACGCGTGTCACGTGGAGACTGTTTCTCCCGTTCTTCCATTTTTTTCGAATTCGAGGCGATCATTGTCCGTTCAGGGGTCGTCTATCGTTGGATCGAGGAGTTTGGTCGAGATGTTGGGAATGGAAACTCGGTGGCGGAACTCGGGGTTGACGGTTGGCCGTGGCCGTGCGACGTGATACGGACGAATCTCGCGAGGGTTTTCGGGATTTCTGCCAAGGGGAGGGAAGAGGAAGAAACTCGCGATGTTGACGTGAACATTGTGCGACGAAGGATGGGACTGGATGGAAGCTGGTGCTCGGTTCGTCGTGCTCGGTGAGATTCTGGTGGTGATTTTGGATTTGTGGATTATGTGTACGCGTGTCCATTGGAGATCGAGGTATTGTCGTACGTTTGTCGAAGGGAATAAGAATATTCAGTGTTTTAGAGTTTTAGAGAGGAGAGTGCGAGCTATGGTTTATACGCCGATCTTTGTATTCGAATTTGTGTTGAATTTGTATCTTCCCGTGAATTTTTTATATGAAGAGGAGTGATATACGTTAAAGAGGAGCGTAGTGAAGAATAGTCTCTCGTCGTTTAGAAATCTATCGAGAGATTGGAGAAAAATATTTATATACACGATTGGAACGGGGAAAAATATTTATTCGATTGTAAATCCAGTGTAAATTATTCATCTACGAAATCACCAACAAAATACTTTTTACGATTACTTGTAAATTATTACGAAAAAAACAAGCTCAGCCTTAAAGAAAATTTTCAAGTATCGAGAAATCAACGGAAAGAAAACTTAAAAAAAAATCACACCTTGAATCCAACATTCACCCCCTTCATCAATAAAATCTCATCCTCGAATCTACCAGCAACCAACCAACCAACCATCGTGTAGCGTTGAAAAACACTTGTGTGAAAGAAGGATCGATCAACCTTTTAACGTCCACCCCCACATTGCACCCTCTTTTTCCCAAAACAAAATCGTCCCCACCACCCAGGATTAATCCCCCGAAAAAGTGTACACGTGCTCGGCTAAAATTGACGCGTGTGGATCGAGCAGTGAATCGGAACCGATTGGATGTTATTTTGGATGTTATCGAGGCACGCAGGTCAGGGTGGATTTAAGTGGCGTGCGAAACGTGTTTCGTTTCAGTTGGCCGACGAACGTCGCGAGTTGCGGTTCGAGGGAAGGAAACGAGGGAGGAGAAGGAGGAGGAGGGGAGTTGTGGTGTGTGTACGTGCGTGCTTGTGCGATTTGTTTACATCTGGAGCCAGTGTGGTAGGAAGAGAGCGGTGATTTCTGAAAGTGAGTGCCAGTCTCGTGTTGGACGACATCGAGGAACTCGAGGTGGACGATGGTTGTGATGGAGATGCTTCGCTGGTAAGTTTGATGCTGTCTCCAGATGGTTAATCGGTGTTGGCGGGATTGACGATTAATTTGAGGATACGATGCGATGGATTATTACGTGACGAGGTTGGTCGAGTTGGTTTGTGCTTGGACGTGGATTAAGACAAGTTGTAATTGGGAAGTTATATTGAATATTTGATGTATGAATTTGAGAAGTAAAACGATTCTCGACGGTGTTTATAGGATTACGTGGAAAAATTTGGATATAAAAGTAAGAGTTTTATGTTATAATTAAGTATGTATAATATTTTTTTCTTTTTGGAGTTGAAAAAAAAATTTGTTTGAAAAATTTTTAGTTTTACTTTTTTTTTTTTTTTTTTATTAATATCTCGAAGGATCGTTTGATTGATTTTATAAAACGAAATATTTTTTGATAAACGTGAAATATTTGATAGTTAATTGGCTGTGAACGAATATCATGATTTGAAAAACAAGTTTCGATTGCAATAGCTGAATCTCGAATTCAATAAATTTTTGCACGAATAGAGAAAAAAAACGAGCCGAATGTTATATTGACAACGTTTTAACGTGAATTTTTGTAATATTATCTATTCTATTTATTAAATTTTCAACTTTCAAAATCAAATTTTATCGTACGCCAATTTTTCCATGTAAAAATATAAATAACAATAATAATAATAATAATAATAATTTTTACAACTTCCATATTTCCATTTTCTATTATTTAATAAATATTTATTATTACGTAGTATAGATTCTCAAATTTATCATCAATTTTTATCAATTTTCATTTTCAAAACTGTTCAATCACGAATAATTCTCGTTCGAAAGTAACGATCATATTTCATCCCGATATGATGTTATCAATATCTGTTTTGTCTTACTTGCACAACTAGACGCACAATTTTAATTAATTGTATTGTAATTATATTACCCATCGCAACTAATTCGTAGCAATTTCACGTGCAACCATGTATCAACAATCGTAATTAATATTATTAAAACTGATACCATTCCGTAGAAATTAATCATTTACGATGATCGTTTGACACAATTTGCTCGATTCGGTTCAATTATTTAAAATTAGTGGCAAAACTTCGTCGTGTTGCAATTCTACGTTCCAATTACATCGATATTCATTGAAACGTGCATTCTTGATACGACTAAACCTCGCGAATTTTACGATTTGCAAACATTTGGTCTACTGGATTATTTATAAACGCTATTATAAACGTGCGTAATATTGATAAATTGACAATTGAAACAAAATTTTAAATATGCATTTTAAATATAAAATACAAAGTGATGCTTTTCGTTGAATTTTATGTATAATCATTTGACTTGATTCAATTCGTAGATGTTATGATAGTTTTCACTTTTGAAATATAAAATCGTTTTTGTTGCGCGCTGAGAGCATCGTGTTTTAGAAAGATGAAGAATGGAAACGTTTTTGAAATAAAATTGCTTTGTTAGTTTCGTTCATATTCATTTTTTGGTACTGTAACATTAGAACAGTTGGAATAAAAGTTTCTGGAAGGGAAATAAATTTTCTAAAGAAAAATAAATTTTCATATATATTTTGTCAACGAATAATATAATATAATAATTAAAAAATTTCTTCATTCTTTTAACAATTTTCCTATCTGGTTTCTCTTGCTAGTTTAATACTCACTATTAAAATTTTTTACAATAAATGCATTCTATCTTGTGTTTTCCACGTTATAATTTAAAAAATTTAAAATATACTGACGAAAAAAAAAATCTTAAATCATAACTATAAATATTTCTGACAATAAAAAGTTTTGTACGTGTATAATAAAATTTACGTGGATATACAAAGATGAAAAAAGAGAGAGAGAGAAAATCGTGTAATTTTATAAATAGAACGATTTTTTTTTTTTCGTTGAGATTGCAAATTGTCTTCGTCTTTTCTGTTTTCTATTCTTTTAGGAAAATTTTCGTTAATAATTCGAAAGAAAACGAAAATGCAGGGTTGGTAATATTATTTACCATATATTTGCCGACCTTCCAATATTCCCAAATACTTGCTGTCTCCCAATTTTACCCTCCATTTCTATTGGCTTCTTCTCCAAGTTTCTTGGACGCTTGGAATCGATTCGTCTCGCGATTGATCGACAACAGAGTGCTTTTTACGATGGATACGATAAAGGAAAGTCATATTCTTCTCTATTATTCTTTCGATTTTGACGGAACGGAATATGTAAGAAGATGGCGAATCGTATCAAGGATAAGCGTATTTCCAACTTTTTTTACATCGTTTTGAGAAGCGTGAAACGTAGTATTTTTACAAAAAATTTGTATTTGTTTTTTTTTTTAGATATCGTAGCTTTGCACAACTTGTTGCATTAATTATTAGTTCGATTAGATCGATATTTAACACACTAATAAATGTTATTGAAATAACGATTTTTAATTTTTGACGAAAGGAATTAAATTTCAATTTCGTTTCCACTTCGACGATTATTATTGTTCGCCAAGGATTTTAATATTGGCGCGTGTAGAATTAAATTAACGAACAATAGTATGTTGTTTTATTACCGACAGTATATAAATTAAATTATTGATGAAAATCAATTTCTCTGCAATCAACACCAAATCAAATATATATTATTTATAGAATGAAGTAGTTATTAAAAATAATATAAAAGAAATTAATATAAGAAGAATATTTAAAAATTGCAAGTATCTTGACTAAACCATCACCATCTTTATATTAATTTAAACATTCCAATGTTAAACTATTAATAATCGCGTGATAATTAAAATTAAAAAAGAAAAACAAAAGAATCGAAACTACGAAATATTATCCAAAACCGTTCATCTAAATATCAAAAATTCGAAATTAAAAACGAGACACGTTTACCTAGACAGCTCAGATGTTAAAAATCTCAATTATGTTAAAATTGAGGGAAAAAGAAGTCGGTCGATTGCCTTGGAATCGATCTGATCGGTCGATCGGAAAAACTGGCCGGCTGGATATTAAGTTCGTTCAGACGCGCCGTGTTTCTGAATACGAGCAACTCAATTTCCGTGGCTGCTTATCGATTGCGTGTATCCGTTCCGCTCGGTTTTATTCCGCGTTACGTACAATGTATTCCTCTTTGGAATTATCGCGGCTTGAAACAAGAGCGGTCTTAATAAATCCAGGTGAGAAACGTTGCGCGAAATCGAAGCTCGTAATATTGGAAACTCGAAATGTAATTGGTAGTTTCATTTAGAATCGGTGACGTTCGATCCTCTCTATTTTTATTCGTTTATTTTCTTTTTTTTTTTAACATCGATAGAAATGTGGATTATTTCCATATGACGGATAAAAACCATCGATCCCATTCTCTGCAATTTTTTTAATCAATTATGTATGATTACTCGGTTCTTTAAAAATTAAATGATTTTAATGGAGTCGATCGATTTTTAATGGTAGAAAATATAATGCAAAGTTGGAAATTTTTAATCGAATACTTGATCTCGAAATATTTAATCCTTTATATAGATAGTTTCTTAGATAATTTCTACTCCAGAAATTACACTTTTGAGATCAACTATATTATCTATAAAGAAAATTATAAAAAATCTATGTGCTATCCAATAAATTCGGTATGAAATTTAAAAATTCAAATGTTGAAATCAAAGTGTGTGATTTTTCCTGTCGATCTAATTTTTATTTCTGACAATTATTCTTTTCTCTGAATTTTTAGAAGGGAGGAAGGAAGGCTCGTTACAGACGTTTAAACGACGACGTTTGCCGCGAGAGAAGCACGTGGCGTGTCTGGCGGTGTTGACACCGGAAGAAGAGCGCGATATATCAGGTTCTGGCTTAATTAGGGAACGCTCGATCCCAGCGAAAACGGTTGAAAACGGTTCTCACGTCTGTGCGACGATAGAATGAAAAGCTGAGTCGCGCCACTGTTATCGGTAATCGTGCTCGACTCTCGAAGGAAATTGGCCGCGAATTTCGAGGTGTGACTCGACTCGACTTTCCTTTTCCATTGTCCATCCTCCGGTAAAATTGTGCCAATTTTTGTCTCGACGAAATTTTCACGAATTTTTCGAGAGAAAAATTTTGAAGATCACGCCGCACACAGAAAGTGATTACGATCTTTCGTGGATTCGTGGAGAAATGCACTTACATGAAGGTTTCTCGAAATTTTTGTTTTATTTTTCTATAAAACTCGTTGATTCTTGTGACGAGCAGGTTGGAGACGAGTTGATGAAGATTCTTTTGGAATTTTGGAAAGAGATTCGAAATACACGAGAAAATTTAATACATTTTTTTATTTCTTTCTTATTTCAAGGATCGTCAAAAAAAAGAAAAAAACGAACATAAGAGAAGATTTGTAGACGTCAAGGATTAAAATGAAATTAATACGGTTTATCGAAAAGCAAGGAAGATGGACACACGTTTGTTTATAATATAATTAATTCGATAGTGCATATCGTCTCGCGCAAAAGGGATTAATTCGTACACGATAAATCTTCATTGGGCATATAATTAAATCGATAATTATGATAATTAGATCACGTGTATACGGTTTATTATTCTCCGTTTAATCGGTATGCCATGAATCGGCCATATAAATCGAACATATAAATCGAGGAATAATTGTGCAAGGGAGAGCAAGTGACGCTCGATATGAATCGTGTCCAATTCAATTTTCAATCTTGTTCAAA